TAGTGGAGGAATCAAGAAGTTCCTTGTAAGAAAGAAAGAAAAAAAAAGATACTCCTTAACTTTAAGGATGTTCCTTAAATTTTCTTGAAAGGAGAATTGAAATGTGTCCATAGAAACAATATTGTAAGGTATTGTAAGGTTGCCTGTAATTATTTTACAATAATCTTTCTCCCCTTGTACATAGATTTGAGCAATAGAATATGCTCTGTTTTCTACTGCAGTGAGGCCTGTAAAACACTCTGGTAGATGCTTGTTCTGTAGACTTGGCAGGAAGAAACAGGAGTTTTTCCAGGAGTGTTAGAAAGACTTGGCTTCAAGTACTCTGAATTACTATTTGCAGAAGCCCCTCCTCTACCTGCTTTAGGGAAATCCATATACTAAAGCTAAAGGTGTGAATCTTCCCTGGGAATAAATCCCTAGATTTCCATTTTAATCCTTTACAAATAGCAACAAGAGTTTTAAGTGGTATTTATCATGTAGAGCTCTCCTGATGCTCTAAATATAGAGATAAATACCTTGGATCTAAGACTTTTCAGAGTGATTTAACCTTTGCCTTTCATGTGATAAACAGCAATCTACTTCAGACTGGCTGTATAGGCCTTCCAAACAAAAACTTTACTCTTTCAGTGTTCAAAGTACAAGTAGCTACTTTTGCATAATAATGTTTAAATTACCATTAATTATCACTTTGAATTTCAGATGGCCTATCTGCACACCCTGAAGATAAAACCAGGTCTCATCCATCAATTTACCCACAGCTGGATTCAGCAACTCCTACAAAAGCCCATCAGTCCCTGTGAGTAGTCTCTTACCAAGGAATGAGAATGGATAACAGATCCTTAGGGGTATTAGTGCTCTGTAACTCATCTAATGAATATAGGAATCTCCGAGGACACAGATTTACTACTTTTACATATTAGTCCAGTAAAACAAGTGAAAATTCCCTCTGTGCTAGACATTGTTTAAGAGGGTTCAAAATACACTTGTGCCTGCATCACCGTTTTGTCATAGATAGACATAAATGTACCTGACTTTTGGCAGGGAAAGGGAGAAACATGAAACAGGTCAGGAAAAGAGTTCAAGACAGGGCAGGTGTCTTCATAATTCCTGTGCGTGGGACACTGGTCCATCTGCCCATGCTGCTCTCAGGTGTGTCACACAGGAAAGACAGACCAGCCAAAAAAATAATGGAACAATCAGAATAAAGAGTTTTGATCTTTTCTTACTTACATTCAATGTATTGCTCTCTCCTAGATTTGCAGCTGAAGCACAAAGCAATAGTTTAAGCAGCCCAGCTGAACACACATATAGCAATGTGAACACGTATAGCAATGTGAGTAATACTTATGTTTGGGATGGTCATTCTTGTCTGGCAGCTGTCAAATGAGAATTTCTGGATTTACCCCAGCTGCAAAGATCTCTTCTGTAACCAGGTAACCAGGTTAACCAGGTCAACTCTCCTCTTTTGCTGCCACAGATCCTAATGTGGAAGCCTGTTTCCTTGGGTCCGGCACAATCCCAGGGGGATTTGCAGAAAGCTTTTGCTTTATTATTTGTATTTAACTTGTTGCTATGCAAAGCAAGTTGAGCTCTCCTCCTGTTGCCATGATGTTATTCTGGTGTACCTTCAATATCAAATAAGATACTAAAAACAAACATATAAAAAGCCCCCAAAAAGCTCGAAGCCTTCATAAAAACACAGCCCACGAAAAAATCACTTAAACCCCAAGTACAGTGCAGGACAAATGTCATGCTGCAGAGAAACACCCATGACGGAAGGAATGGAAAGAGCCTGAAGGGACTTTGAGGTAATGTTATGAAGGCAATGTCAAATGGAAAAGATGAGAAGCAGCTCCCAAACAAATATGGACAGTCCTTGTTTTAAACTGCAAATAAAAGCAAATGTTTGAATCTGTGTGGTGGAACAAGTCACACAGAAGTAAATTATGCACATGTGCTATAGAACAGTAAATGTTGCTTTGAAGGTTGTGTGGAGAATGAAGATTAATTGGGTTGCTAACTGTTGGCCATGGAATTTTACCTGCAGTAGTCGAGAGAGTTTAAAGATAAGTCAGCAATTATTTAAGTTAGGTCAAACCAGTTCTCACAGAACAATCTGTTTATGTATTGTTGTGCTTGATGTCCTTAGTTGACAACTCTTTTAAGCCCAGTGCCTCTGAACCCAATAAATCTGCAGGCTGGACAGACTGTGCCATCAAATGGACCATCACCAGCAGGTAATGAACACTGCAAATCACCTCTTTCGTGCTTCCTTTTCTTGTTAGAACTTAAGGCCTTTACATAATGGCTGTCAGTGGCTAGGAACAGCAACAAGCATTGACAAAATAATATTGCACGTGAATTCTATTACACATCTGTCCATTTTAGCATGTAAAGCAGCTGAATCAGTAGCAGATAATGTGCTACTTTCAGGAATACAGAAAAACATGCAGTAATTTTCGATCTGGATGTGTCTGTCTCTGTATTCTTCAGTTACATCGAAGAACAAGTCCCAGTCACCTCATTACTATGAGATAATGGAATTTGATCCCTTGGCTCCCACTGAGTAAGTAACTTTTAAAATAGAAGTTTAAAATTCTGTGTTACCAAAAGGAAAATGGCTTTTTCTTCAGAGAGGAAAAACAGATCACTCTACTTAGGTTGGTAACTGACCAACTTCATCACTGATGTCAATGACAGTGGCTGCATTTTGTATGTTTTCTTCAAATATTTCTGGCATAACCAATTAAGGAATAAACTGTAGTGTTCTCATTAACTGGCATCTATAAAAGTGGAAGAGTAATGCTCTATCAAAATTACTGAAATCTTACCCAGTGATAAGAAAGTGAAGGAAATATATTCAGGGTCCTGCTGGAGGAAGCTGATTGAGCTTCAGCACAGGTAGTTCTGGAACAAGGTAACCAAAGGAATTCTTGCTTATAGCAATTCTGGGTTTTAAAGTGTTTTTCTACTGCATATGAAAAGAATCCTTAATTTAAACTACAAAAGGGAATGGATGCTGTGTCTCTCCAGAAGGCCAAAATAGTGAGACAGCAAACTAATACAAAACCTAACAGATGGCAGAATTCCCCTTTCTAACAGTAAATTGCAAAAAAAAAAAAAAAATTGAGCTATCTATACAAAACTTATTTCTAAGGAGCCACTGCATTTTGAGGTAGGGAAATCTCAACAAGGGTTCTGTTGTTTTTTTTTTAATTAATGCAGTAAATGCAGAGTAGTGCACTTGCCATTTGTGTTTTGCAGTCCTGTTCCCAAATTGACAGCATCCAGAGGTTCCTCATTAAATGTACAATCAGATAAGCAGAGCAGGGTTGGTTCTTTGTTTCCATGGAAACCTGGGCATCCTGCAAGGGAAGCTACACTATAAACTTTGGGCAGGATTTCCCTGGTGCCATTTGTCAAAATGAAATGTGATGTAGGAGTCACCCTACTCCTTCTCTTTCAGAGCTATTTATGAAGAAATTGATGTTGTGCTGAAGACAGAAGTTAAAAAGAACACAGACTGAACGTGGGGGTGGAATCCTTTCCTGAACACTCTCCAGTGCTGGTCCTGTGCAGTGCTTCCTGTAACTACAAGTGAATAACAGAAGAGGTTTTGCATTTTGACACAATAATTAGTGTTGGAGTACTAAGCTGTGTGCAAGTTGAGGAGTTACTTGGCTCCACATCTTGACAATTTGTCCTAAATGTTCAGCTGTGTGTTCTTCAAGGTCACTTGCATTGCTATTTTAAATTATTTTGGGTGCCTGTAAAATGTGACTTCCAAATTCACCTGTGTCTGAAGTGACACTTGACACCTGGTACAAGTCTAAAAAGACACATTACATTCACAGAAACTGCAGAATCCAGTTTCTTTTGGCCTCAGTGCAATGTTAATCTCCCTAGAAATCTGTAAGGGGGTTTTGAGATATATTTCTTTTTCCTAAATTTGGCCTCTTAATAGATGTCTGAAGATGTGCAGTGTTACTTTCCTACATCCTTAATACAGATTTTTCCTTTATTACTTTCTTCCTAAAAACCCACAGTATAGTTGGGTTTTGTCTTGGAAAGAACCTAAGCTGGGACACAAAGTGGTGTCATCAATTTAACGGGGAAAAAAACTGCTTGTTCCTATGTTGTTGTTGTTTTTATTTACTCAGTAAATATTGGAGGGTGATCAATTGTTTCTTTCAGTATTCCTGCCCTGCAGATTGTTCTGGTGAAGGAAAAATTAATCATCTACAATGCAGATGAGCAATAGCTACCCATTTACTTTAATTAAGTAGTTCAATCCTGTTAATAACTGTTTTATCTTTTAATAAGTGCCTTATCTATTTTAATGCTGAATGTAAACTGTGCACTTTAACAGGTATAGTTCTCTTGAATTTATAGCTGATACAAAATTTGAGAACTTAGTTCATGGTCATACCAGATAAGCTAATTTTTTGCATTTTAAGCATTCCTTATATTAACTGTTTAAGGATAAGAAGTTCTCAGCTGCTTTTGCAACTTTTGTAGCATAAAATTCCAAATAAAAGCAAATGCTTACTGAGAAGTAAACCCTCATTGCTTCCAAGTTTTTCTCTATTTGTGTATTCCCTGAAATATAAATGTGGGTAGCATTGGAAGTATTTTAGTATGAAATTGTGCAGTTTGCTGCAGGATCATTAGAACAACTTCCTTCTATCCAAAACACAACCTTGAAGAAGTCTGGAAGTCTTCTAAGTTGAGGTGAGAAGGTGAGTTGCTTTACTCTCATTTTTCTTGCAAATTTGCAGTGGTCTGGACAGCAGCCTGAGAAAACAGCTGAAAATAGGATTGGAGGTGGATTGATTTTTTAAAATTTTTCCCCTACAGCTGGGTTGTATTGGCAGAACCCCCCCAGTGAAGGGTAACAAATCAAACTGCGCTGTTGCAGTGTAATCCATAATGGGCAGTTGCTGACAGAACCTCTCCATGTTTAGAGCAGCACAATGTCAGAGATGGAAAGGAATTGGCTAATTAAAGGTTAGAGCCCGTGTTACAGGGGGAATGTGCTCAGCATCTTAGCAAATTTGGGCTTTCAAACTCAGGCTAAGAACCCACATTTTTATGGAACTGCCACTTGCCAGGGGGATACTCCTTTTCTTCTAAAGAATGTGGCCAGAATAAAGCAATGGGTGGAGAACTGCCATGACCTGTTCAGCTTTCAGGACAATGGACTAAAGACAACTGAGGTAAGAAGTTGGGTTTTTTTCCCCTAGCCTGGATTCAAAGATTTGTCTTGATGTTATTTTTTTTTTTTTTCCCTGAAGCATATTGGAATTATAAAGCTTGCTGCTATCTTCATACACCTATGTTTCACTTGTGTGGGCTCCACATGTTCTTCTGGATAAAATGCATTAGAGAGATGAAAGAATGAAAAGTTTTCAATCTTTAATATACAGTAAAGACCTGTATGTCATCCAAATTCTGTTTCACCAACACAAGTAATTACTACAATAATGGATTTTAAAGGTAGCATCCATTTATTTTCAAAAAGCAGGTTTTGAGTTACTGTATGCAAATATAATTGAGACTTAAGTAACTGGAAGTTATTTCTGAAGTACCATTGCCTTTTCAGAGTGCAGGCTAACCAACATTAGCCTTACTTAGATCTTCTCTGCTGGAAGGGGTAGAAAGATGTGGCCCAGCAGAAGAGATACTGGCTGATACTAATTTCTGTCTGGAAATGAGGTTACTTGAACTTGCTCGGCAACTTGGTTCTGATTTGCAAGGCAGTGATGAAGTGTTATTAGACCTACCACACAGATAATGCCCAAAAGGTACATAAACACCACTTAATGTGTTCTGCTGGTGAAGAGAGTCCCCCTGGAGAGCTGCTGCCCTGCTGGGCAGGCTCAGGCCAACTCAGCCTCTGAATGGGCTGATGCTGGTTTCTGAGGAGACACGATGCTGCTCATCCAGCTGCAATTCAGAGCAGCTGTTACACCCTGCCCTCCCCTAAAAGCATGTCACACACAGGCCAAGATTGCCTCTTGTGGAGGTACCCAGAGTAGAGCCCTCGGCAGAGGCAAAGAGCACTCACCAGCAGCACAGGTACTTCACATGAGTGGGACACAACGCAGAAATAAAATAGTGTTTCCAAATGGAAACCACCCCACAGAGCTGATATGCTTACACTAAAATTACTGTTCTCATGATAACAGCTTTAGAGCAGTGTGCTCTTACCAAATGAACTACTGATTCAGTAGTAACATGAGAGGGTGCATCACCTTCTGAATCATCTCCTCCTGTGCCAGAGAGGCTTACACAGAAATAACAGTCTTAACTTTGTTTAGTTATGAGATTACCTTGTTACCTGGGTTTACCTTTTTCTAAAGTTACTTAACATGCAAGTTATTTTCCAGAGCCAGCAATGGAATTTTAGATGCTTCATCAACTGATTTTTTTCTTCTGTATTTAAATGAGGATCTTAATTTACACACTTGTTTAAAAATTTTTGTTGTGGCATTCAGGTAACATCTTACAAATAGATGGCCTGAGAAAACCCTCTCTACTTCAGGAACAGTTTGTTCCTTCCACTGTCTGATGAAGAAATACTATCCCTAAGAAATAGGGATACGTTAAGTTAGTTTCCTAAAAAATATATATATACATATACTTTTAAAACAGCATGTGCCCATGGAGGTTTAATAATATCATTTCATACTGCACAGTACTCCTTCAGCTTTTTCTTCCAAGGAAAAATGGCATCAAAACTGGCACTCATATGTAGCAGAAGTCAGATTTTGTAGAGAAGGCCCATTACTGATATCCAGGAAGTGGCAACTTCTGTCCTTCCTTTGCTTCGAAGAAGGTGTAAGAGAGAGTGATCAAATCAACTTTAGCCATTTTAGGGTCCTCTGCAAACTCTGGATCAATGTAGAAAAAAACAGGCATGTCCACTTCCTCCTGAGGATTTAGCCTCTGTTCTTCAAAACAAAAACACTGCAGGTGGAAGAAAAAAAAAAATTCCACAATTAGACAACAATTGCGATGATAAATTTTATCTCTGCCAACATGAGAGCCATCTTAATGGTTTAAAATAAATTCTCATTCCCTTTACACCCCTCAAATCCTGGGAAGGATCAATAAGATGACCAACAAGACAGCAATTGTGCTACTGGTGATATAGGAAAAAAATATATTAGCTTTTAAGGGAGTATGTAAAGGTTTCAAGGGGCCAGACCAGCTCACATCATTCTGCCTGCCCTTAGAGTGGTACTAAATAACACAGATTTTGGAGCCACTCTGATGGGATGAGCAGTTGGTGTGAGGACAGTAAGGCTAAGAAGGAACTGAAGCACTTCATAATTTGAAAAAAAAGGTATTTTCTTAAAATATTAGCATACTAAGAATGTTGTCCATTAAAACGTAATCTATGGGTAACCATTTTCCTTTGTGTAAAGGAAAATGCAATCTTTGCTTTGTTCACACTTACTTGTATTTTATTGAAATACTGTCCTGCTTCAAAGGGGACAACGTTGTAGGTGGAGATTCCAATTATTGGCTTGTCAGTAGGATTTTTTGCTTTATAAAATGCCAGTGCAGTCTCTCCTGGTACCACCTGTGTAACAGAATTGTACAGTGATTTTTTTTTTTTAATTCACTGCAGCCTTCTACCCCTCAAACCAAGTTCTTTACACTTAACCTAGAATTAATTTTCTCTATCGCTGTTTCAATTTGGTTATTTCACAAATATTTTTGATTACATACAATTCACCTGTATTCAAAATTAAAAGCTTCAATACTGTTCTATGTATTTTTACTCTTACCACTTTGCCTGAGTCTTCTATTATCCTCAACAGTTCAACAGCACACAGACCATTTTTAATATGCAGATTTAGATATGGTGTGGATTTAATTTCTGAGGTAATTCTTTCAGTACTGGACTCAAAGTATTAAGAAGCATAACTCCTTATTTTGACAACTAATTTGAAACAGAAAAGTTAATCTGTGATTTTTAAATATAAAAAAAAAATCTTATAAGGATAGGGCAATGGGTGAAACAGTACAGCTTTAGATATAATGTTACACAATATATTTTTTAGTATATATATGTATGCTAATACTGTATGCACATATATAGTGTATGTATCATGTGCATGTGGTCTATATTCCATGAAGTGTATACGTGAAGTAGTTTCAGTAACTTTTGATAGCTTAAAGGGGTAGCAGAGGGGCAACTACACACAGTGTCCTGTAAAAAGGACATTGCCGTGCTGGAGCACATCCAGTAAAGGGCAACAAAGCTGATGAAAGTTCTAGAGAACAGTCTGGGGTTGTTCATTCTCAAGAAGAGGAGGCTCGAGTGGAACATGACTGCTCTCTGAGCTGCTGACAGGAACGTGCAGTGGGACGGGCAGCGAGCCCTTCTGCCGGGCCTGCACTGAGAGCACCGGAGGAAAGGGCCCTGGGGCGAGACAGGGGCGATTCCCATTAGGTATCAGGAACGTTTTCCAGCGTTGGTGTGGTCAGGCTTCGGAAAGGGCTGCCGGGGAGGCGGTGTAGCCCGCATCCCCGGAGCTGCTCCCTGAACGCTGCGGCTCAGCAGTCACAGGGGCAGCGCCGAGTGCCCAAAGGCTCCTCCAGCCGCGAGCAGGGCTCTGCGCGGGGGAAGGCGGCGACTCACGTAGATCTCGCTCTGCTGAGGCTTGAAGTTCCACTGGATGCTGGCGTGCGTGTCGGCGTTGAAGGTGACCCTGATGAGCCGGTCCCGCACGGGCTCCATGCGCTCGATCCGCTCCGCGCTGCGCTCCGCGCCCGTCGTGCCGCCGAGCCCCGTGGCCTGTGAGGGAAGGGCGGTGAGGGCTCCGAGCCCCGCGAGGGAAGGGCGGTGAGGGCTC